ACGACAATTGCAGTATTTTGGTTACTGTCTCAGACCCAGTTTGCCCCTGAAGTGCAGAGGTTGGTTCTGTAAGGTCCATTTATTTCCACACTTCTAGATTTTAGGTCTCCTACTGTTGAGTTCTCAGATTCTCCGGAGAGTGTCAGTACAAAGCACTTGTTATTTTCACTGCATTGCCCTCTTCTCTCTCCTCTGATATCAGTACAAGGTTGGTTGCTTTGTTTCACCATTTCGATTCTCTTCTCCGCACTTACAACTCTGTTTTCAGTATATCCACTCTCAAAACATTTTCTTGGCAGTGGAACTCAGATATAGAGATAGGAATGGTTACCCATCGTACATGTCGAGTAAAAAATGTGTGCTTGAGATGAATATTGCAGTCTTTCAAAATGTCATGTTATCTTTTGTATTTTGCTCTGTCTCCTGAAATTTACAAAAGGTGTTGTTCTTATTTCCTGTAGCAATTTCATTTACTGCTGTTCCTCCAAAGAAAGGACTGTCAGGACTGAAAGACTGTCAACTTCCTCTTGTACCAGAAGCATTGGAAGTTCTCCACTATAGGCCTATGAAAACCACAACACACACACACACACACAGATGAAGTAGAAATAAAAAACAAAAGACATTCAATACAGAGTTATTCTTTGATTTTTGTGAAAGTTTTGGAGTCTCCTATGATATTTCTTGGCCCATAACTTCTTTATATTGTTATAAGGAAGTCTTCTTATTTTAACATTGTAGAAGGCTCATTCTGAATCTGGGTTTTATCTGTAGAAGCATTAAGAAGAGGATATTTGATGAGCCTACAATAGAGAAATTTTTGCATTTTTGAAAGTAACATCCTGGCCCCTTTTTATAGTCATGGTAATGTGGAGAGAGAAAAAAAAAAAAAGACAGAACCATTATTACCTGTGCTGCAGGTGGTTTACATTTTATTTAATTAGGAAACTCAATGAAAAGAAATGATTACCCTGTTTTAATGATAAAGAGAAGTTATTAAATCAACATGATTCATAAGGTTATTAAAATCTAACACAGTTTAGTGGCTGATCTAGAATTCATACGTAGGTCTGCCCAGCTGAATTTCGTGTTCTAATCCCAAACACTGACCCTGATGGGATCTGAAAACAAGAGCTTGAGTGGTAAGACTCTTGCCAAGGAAGCGTAGCTTTTTCATACGTGACATGGGAGAAGCAGTTCCCAGAGATCTGAGGCCAGGGACGCCCTAGGACAGTGGTATCCCTTAGGAGTCACAGCAATTCCTCTGGGGTGGTCGAGGCTTCCTGGGCGGCTGGGGGCAGGGAGCCTCGGATGATCAGAAGACAGCATGAAGATCAAACCAAACCCTTGGACCTGATGTCTATTTTAAATGCTTTTTTTTTTTTTTTAAGATTTTATTATTTATTTATTTATTTATTTGAGAGAGAGAGGGAGAGAGAGAGAGCGAGCGAGCATGAGTAGGTTGAGGGGCAGAGGGAGAAGCAGACTCCCCACTGAGCAGGGAGCCTGATGTAGGGATCCAGGATCATGACCTGAGTGGGAGGCAGACGCTTAACCAGCTGAGCCACCCAAGTGCCCCTATTTTAAATGCTTTTTAAAACTTTTCTGTAGTTACCATTATCATGAACGACTAGAAGTCTCCCATCCTTGTTTGATAGGTCAAAAAAGAGATGAGCTATGTACTATAAAGAATGGGAAAATGGATCTTACTTTAAATAGAAAAGTAGAACCTTTTACATCCCTTACCTAGCAAATTTTGCATACTTTTTTATCAAAGTTTATAGACAATAGGTTGTAAATATATAGGAAACCACTGCTAAAAGTAGCACCGACATTCAGAACTAGTCACAAGGTCCTCTGTGCTGTTAGAAATGACCTGAAAACAGTATTTATGTTTTTGAAAAAGTAGGTCAGGGAATAAAAGAATTAGCAGTAAGATGTTGACATAGTTTATAGAAAATAATCTTATTGCTATGTCACCTTCAACTTTTACTAGAAAAGCTGTGTGTATAACACAGATGGTCACAGCCTGTCAGAAGCTTTTACTCAAACTAAAAAACCGTCTAAGATTTTTGTCCCCCATGTGACTAGCTTGAGTACTCCCCAAACAAACGGCAGTGTTATTTTGTTTCTAAAAGGTATCTTACTTTTCACTAACTTAATTACATTTTCTTTTCCTTTGGTGGATTTCATCCTCCTTAACTAAAGAAATCAAATTTTGCATTTGTCACTATCTTAACATAAGTGTGTTTAAAGGAATCATGACAGCAAAATGTTGATGGAGTGTTTATACAAGCAGTATGTTGGAAAATGGTATCTCGGTGGTCCCAGAAAACAGAATTGCACCCCGACTTTTCAGAAAGTTTTTGTTTCTAAGATTGCCATGCAAAGGAAAATCTGTCTAGTTCCTTGAATTGTTGACTCTCCATCAAGAGTTGAAATGTGTACTCTAATGCACTTGCTTTGATCTCTCATTTGACTGTTTATCAAAGCTGATTACACTCTGAATACACAAATCCTCTTAGCTTCAAAATAATGTGAAAATAATGGATAATAGAGCATTTTTAAGTATTCTCTGCTATTCCAATTTGGTTTTATGATTGTAGTGTGGCCATTAGGTTGGGGAAGAGGGTCTGTTTTTATGTTTAGTTTCCTTGGTAAGACCCAGTCGTTTGCCACATTGGATTAGAATGTTTTTTTCAGCCAAACTTGCTCACGCAGGGAAGCAAGAGCTGCTTTAGGATACATCAAAAGGAATCATTATGAACATATGAAACTCCCTTCATTCCACTCACCACAATTTAGAGGCTTACACTTTTGAAAAGCTGTATGTGCTTTCTTGATCTGCATAGAAGTTGAAACGTAATGAAATAGCACTTGATGTATTCAATTAAAGATAATTATGTATTACATCACGTTACAAATTTCAAGAGCATCGAGTCCAACATTTTTGAAGAACATTTATTTAGCCTCTGCTAATTATTGGCGGCACTATGCTAAGTCTTTTATGTATGTTAACAGATTATTTTCCTAAGGTTACATAGCTAATCTTAGTGGCAGAATCAGGAATAGAACACAGATCTCTAGCATCTCATTCTGGCGCATTTTAAATTTCGTAAATCGTTTACTTGATTCTTCTAACATACTCCAGAAATTTTCTTCCAATCTCAGTCTTCATCTCTGTATTTTATTTTTTAAATTTTTTTAGTTCTTTTGAAGATTTTATTTATTTATTTGACAGAGAGAGCAGGAACACGATGAACAGGGGGAATGGGAGAGGGAAAGCAGGCTACCTCCAAGCAGGGAGCCCAATGCGGGTCTCGAACCCAGGACCCTGGGATCATGACCTGAACTGAAGGCAGACGCTTAACGACTGAGCCACCCAGGCGCCCCAATCTCTATATTTTCAAAAAGCATAGAATACACACGTGAGGGCAGTTGGAAGACTGTCCTTCCTGGAAGTGGCATGCATTGCGGTGCTTTGTTGTTTTGCCTTAAACACACTTTGTATGGCTCTAGACTTGCTGCCTGAAGCCAATCATGATCAAGCCAGGCAGCCCAGAGCAGATTTAATAAGACAGTGAGTTCACGTTGGAGCCTTTTCGAAGCAAAATCATGGAGCATTTATTCTGATTTTCAATACAGCTAACAACTGACCCGGAAGTTCTTGTGAACAATCTAATGCACAAAAAAGGAAAGGGGACGACAACACTTTCTGCTCCCGGCTCAAACGTTGCCTGCCGAGTTCCCCAGTCCTGGCCAGGAGTGGCAGCATGACCCTCCATGTGGCTTTGCAGATACTGTACAGACCTTTGAACAAACAGTCCTGAGGTTGTAGAACATTAACCAGCCCAAGCTGGACAATTGTGCGTTCAGTAGTGAGAGAGACACTTCGACAATTCTCAGATGGCCGTCGGTTAGCTTTCGTGCCCCGTTCCAACCTTAAAATCAACTCATCCACTCCACTTTGTCTCCTCCTTTCTCCAGACGGTCACAAGGGTGACCTATGAGGGAGTGATTGTAAAAGGGCAATGTCTTCTTTCACTACTTCTAGGTTTTCTTTATTTTTTTTTTTTTAAGTTTTTGTCCTGTCACTCAGTGATTTTCAAAAGTGTGTGTGACAAACCATTAGTGCAGCATGAAATCAATTTAGTGGGTCACAAATACACTTTGAAATCTAATAGAATGGACTAAAAATGTGAGAGCATTGCATGAAGTAAGAGTATTTTTGAAACCTTTGTGGCAGGTGTGTGTGTGTGTATGTGGAGTAATCTATAAATTCTTGGCATGCTTGCTGGTCAAAAAATGTAGAATTCACTGCCACACCTATTTCATGTGCTGGAGTTCCTATGTTATTTTAAATAATTTCAAATAGTGATGTGATTGATGGCTTTCTCAAATTTGGTCTTTTAAGTTTATGTCAGGGTACCATTTATTTTGAAACAAAGGTGATAGCAAATAAATGAGTGTACTGTTGCCTCCCTACTTTTAATAAGTAGAAAATGTTAGTGTCTTTTACCTCTGTAGAAATAACCTTTGGATCTGTTCATTTGTGGTCTGGTGCAGAGAGCACTGGTCAAGGTCATATACCATTTCTATTGAGTTTCTTGACTTAGTTTCTGTACTTTTGCTTGAGAGAATTATTTTTAACTAATTATTAGCATTTAAATCCTTGACAAACACATTTACAGTGAATATGAAATGAACTACTATTTTCTCAGGTTAATGTAACTGACTTAGAGAAATTACTTAGAAAAAAGGTATTACTTCGAATATTAAATTTGTGCTTATTTATATCTTATGTGTGTTGGTAGCTATTATTAACTGAATGAAAATTAAATATCTATTTAATCATATTTGCTTATAGATTTAAAATAAACTCTTTCTGGAATGCATTAGAATTAATTATGAATAAAAATATATTTCATATTATTTGGATCATATTTTGCTTAAGATAGAATATCATATATCTCATTTCTTTTTTTTCTTGCATTTTTCAGCTAAAATTGATCAAGAGGCAGAAGAAAACTCACTGACAGAGACTCATAAATGGTGAGAAGTTGCTTTCCTTTAATACCAAAATGTATTCTCAAATAAGTTTATAAATTACTTATTAGTACATTTTATCTCAAGGAACCAATTATTAGCTCAGTTTTTATTTTCAAGCATAAAAGAAAAAGAAAATAATAGTTTAATATTATATTGAATTTCTGAATTTTATTTTAATGACTCTGGATGATTATCAATCTGTTAAGTACCAAATTATTGTGAATACTTGAGTACCTTCTCTTTTGGATGACATTTCGGACTGTGGAAATACCAGAGAAGGGAGTATAGCAGGAACCTGTTTCAAGAAAGAAGGGTGAAGAGTTTGGTTCTAGGAACTATTGAGTTTAAGTAACTTCCCTTGCATTAACTTGTACTTTCAGAATGGAGATTTGCAATCATGAATGAGTGAACATAGAGAATTATCTCACAAATCTCTTGGTTTCTCTGCCTCAGTTTTCTCCCTTTCTTCTTTCTCTCTGTAGTGGTCAATGTTCTCCAGAAAACAGAACCAATAGGATGTGTGTGTGTGTGTGTGTGTGTGTGTGCGTGTGTGCGCGCTCGCGCGCTCGCGCGCGCACTCACAGAGAGACTGAGCGAGATTAGGGAATTGGCCAATAGCAGGCTGGAAAGTCCTGAAAGGAGTTAATGTTAGAATCTTGAGTTCAAGAGCATTCGGAAGACAGAATTCCAGAATTCCATCCTCTTAGGGTAGCCGCAGTCGTCTTTTTCTTAAGACCCTCAACTGATTGGATGAGGCACATCCACATTATGGAGGGTAATGTGCTTTCCTCAAAGTCTACTGATTTAAATGCGACTCACATCTCAAAAATATTTTCACAACATATAGATTGATGTTTGACCCAAAACTAGTTACCGTACCTAGCCAAGCTGACACATCGAATTAACCATCACACTCTCTAAAGAAATCTGATTACTCTTGAAGGAGAATTCTGATTAAGGAAGTTCTTTACCATTACTTAATTAGGCGAGATCCTATATATTCTGTGAATAGGTATCACGTTTTTAGTTGCTGTTTATCTAGTATGACATATTGTGCTAGATAAATTGGTAAAGAGAATTGTTCAGTTTCAATGAAAAGCAAAAATGGGTAAAGACCAACAGCTGTCTGGGGAAGATGGTGGCAGAGTAGAAGTACCCTAAGCCCATCTGGTCCCACGGAAACAACTAGGTGACAGCCACATCAGTGTAAAAAACGCAGAAATTGAGGCAAAGACTGGCAGGACAGACTCTCTAGAGCTAAATGTAGAGGAGAGGCCACACTGAAGAGAGTAGGAAGTATGGAAGCACAGTTGGAAGCTAAAGGGACCCATGGGACCATCCACAGGAAGGAGGGACCCCACTGGCAGGGACATGGAAAGGGGAGAGAAACAGACTCTCACACCAAAGATCCTACATGGGAATGATGAATCCCCATAAGATTTGGCTTTGAAAACCAGAGGGGCCAAATTTCAAGAAGTCTTAAAATCAGCAGGGCTTAAAACCTGGAATGTTTAAAGTTCAGCAGGGTCCTGAAAGACCTGGTCCAGTAGGGCAAACTGAGAGACTGAGTCCCCACCCTTAAGGAGACAGCAAAACAAAGAGCCCTGTTGAGATATAGCATAGAAACAGCAGTTTGAAAAACACCTGTGATATATGGGAGAGAGATTTGTTTACTAATATCAGAGCATGTGCTGGAAGGAGCGCATGTGGGAGATTTCTTCAGGAACAAAGGAACTGGTGAGCACCATTTTGTTCCCCCACCCCACAGCCTAGACACATGGTACCTCTGGGAGCCAGCAGTCCACAACGCTCGCTACCTAACCTGAAAAGAGCATGCCTAGCCCATGCATTCCGTGGACGCACTCCCTCCAGATGGGCCTCAGCTCCAGGTCCTCTTCCATAGTAGACCCAAGCAAACCTTGCTAACACTGAGCATCCTGCCCATGCATGCTTCTGTGGATACACCCCTCTGACCCTCCCTGCTTCAGTCCCCAGGAGCTGCAGGTCCCCTCCCATGTAGGCGGACCTTGCTGACACTACCCTCCCCACCTTCACTGTGACCTGAAGTTCAGTGCTACTGCAAATCTGACAGACACTTGGTGAGACTGAACTTAAACCCAACATGGCCCTAGCCTGACCCACTAACACCACAGGGACCAAACCCTGCCCACAACAAGCAAAGAGAACCGTCACAGACAACGGGACTGAAAACAAAAGCGGCTCAGCCACAACAGAACGATGCATGCAACACACATAGGAGACACCCCTAAAGCATCAGGTTCTAGTGAGCAGAGGATATTGTACTGCGGGACACTGCAAGACCTCTTCTTTATAAGGCCTCTACTGTCAAGAGCAGAAGATGTAGCTGACTTTTCTAGTGCATAGAAACAGGCATAGAGTTAGACAAAATGAGGAGACAGAGGAATAAGTCCCAAATGATAGACCAGGACAAAATCACAGCAAAAGAGCTATACAAAACAGAGACAAGTGATACACCTGATAGAAAATTTAAAGTAATGATCGTAAAGATAGTCACTGGGCTTGGAAAAGGAGTGGAGGACCTCAGTGAGTCTCTTAGCAAAGAGATGGGAAACATAAAAACAGAACAAATCAGAGATGAAGAACTCAATGAATGAAATAAAAAAGACACTAGAAGGAATAAAGAATAGGGTGGAGGAAGCAGAACAAATCAGTATGGAAAATCAGTAATAGAAAACAAGCTGAAGAGGAGAGAGAAAAGAAATAATAAAAAATGAAAATAGACTAAGGGATCTTAGCGACACCAAGTATAATAACATTCTCATTATAGGGATCCCAGAAGGAGAAGAGAGAGAAAAAGGGGCAGAAAATCTATTGGAAGAAATAATAGCTGAAAACTTCCTGAATCTGGGAAAGGAAACAGAAATCCAGATCCAGGATGCACAGAGATTCCCCCCCCACAAAGTCAGCCCGAGGAGGTCCACACAAAGAAACAGTAAATAAAATGGCAAAAAGTAGTGAAGAGAATTTTTAAAGCCGCAAATGAAAAGAGAACTGTTATATACAAGGGAAACCCCCTAAGGCATTCAGGGTTTTTTGGTTTTGGGCAGAAACTTTGCAGGCCAGAAAGGAGTGGCATGATATATTCAAAGAAAAAATTGTTCAGCCAAGAATACTCTAACCAGCAAGGCTATTATTCAGAATAGAAAGAAAGATGAAGAGCTTCCAAGACCCTCCCCAAAATAAAAAAAGTTAAAGTAATTCATACCACTAAACCAGCCCTATAGGAAATGTTGAGTGGAAAGGAAAGACCATAGAAAGGAGTAAGAAATGTAGAAAAGACAAAAGCAGTTAAAGTAAGTATATCTGTAAAAGTCGATCAAGGTATTAACAAAATAAGAGAATGTAAAGTATGACACCATATACCTAAAATGTGAGGGGGAGAACAGTAAAGAATGGACTCAAACTTAAGGGACCAACAAGTTAATATAGATTGCTAAACACAGAAGATGTTATATACAAACCTAATGGTAATCACAAATGAAAAACCAGTAATAGATGTGCAAAAAATAAGTAGAGAGGAATCCAAGTATATCACTAAAGAAATCCAGCAAATCATGAGAGAAGAAATTAAGAGAAGAAAAGAGCAGAGAAGAACTACAAAACCATTAAACAAGTAATAAAAGGACAATAAGTACTTATCTATCAATAATTACTCTGAATGTAAATGGCCTAGTGAATGAATGAATGTAAATGCTCTAGTCAAAAGACATAGGGTGACAGAATGGATAACACAGCAGGACCCGTCTCTGTGCTGACTACAAGAGACCGACTTCAGACCTAAAGACACATGCAGGTTGAAAGTGAAGGGGTAGAAAAGCATTTATCATGAAAATGGAAGTGAAAAGAAGGCCAGGGTAGCAATACTTCTACCGGACAAAATAAGCTTTAAAACAAAGACTGTTGTTAACAGGAAAGAAGGAAAGGACACAATGTAATAATAAAGGGAAAACCCAACAAGAAAATACAACAGTTGTAAGTACGCACCCACCACGGGAGCACCCAAGTAAGGAAAGCAGCCGATAGCAACATAAAGGAAGTAATTGATATAATACAATAGTAGTAGGGGCTGTACACCCGCTCACAGCCATGGACAGTTCATTCAAGCAGAAAATCAATGAGGGACAGTAATAGCTTTGAACGACACAATGGACCATAAGGGTCTAACAGATATATTCGGATATATTCTTTTTTTTTTTTTCCAGTTTCCAAAGGCTTTATTGATAAATACAATTTAGAAATGAAAGATTCTATTACTTCCAGGTCACTGGAATGAAGAGCTGTGTCCAGGGACATCCTAAAACAGCAGAATACATATTCTTTTCAAGTGCCCATGGAACATTCTCCAGAATAGATCACATATTAGGCCACAAAACAAGTCTTGACAAATTCAGAACATCAGAGTCATACCATGCATATTTCTTGAGCACAATGCTATGAAAGTAGAAATCAACCACAAGAAAAATTCTGGAAAAACCGCAGATACATGGAGGTTAAATAATGTGCTACTAAACAATGAGTGGATCAGCCAGGAAATAAAAGAAGAAATTAAAAAGTATGTGAAAACACAACAGTACAGGGACGCCTGGGTGGCTCCATTCGGTTAAGTGTCTGTCTTCCACTCAGGTCATGATCCCAGGGTTCTGGGATCGAGCCCCACATGTACAGAAGTGTCTTTCTGATGCTTCGTTTAGTGTACAGAAGTGAAATGGTGGGACATCTGGGTGGTTTAGTGGCTTAAGCGTCTGCCTTCCGCTCAGGTCATGATCCCAGGGTGCTGGGATCCAGTCCCGCATCAGGCTCCCTGCTCAGCAGGCCATCTGCTTCTCCCTCTGCCTGCCACTCCCCCTGCTTGTGTGCTCTCTGACAAAGAAATAAAATGTTAAAAAAAAAAAAAGAAAACAACAATACAAAATCTTTAGCTTGTAGCAAAAGCCCTTCTAAGAGGGACTTTAGAGCAAGAC